GTGGCGGTTCGGTACACAACATATATACAGTGCTTTCACTGTGCCACAACAGCGTCTTGTTATTCTGTCAGCAAAACAAAAGAAAATGTAAAAGATAGATAAATCGTGGGAAAAAAAAAATACACAGCTGAATCGATGGTTTTCTAACTCTATTTTATTCCTTGCTGCAGCTGCCATCATTCATTTAACAGTTTGGCTCAGTGTGCTTCCTCTGCATCGCCTGTGTCTGTCCCTGAATGTTTGCCTGCGCGCCGCAGAAAGAAAAGCATTTAACCAAAAGAAATGTGATTTAAAAAAAAAAAAAAACTCCAATTTTCAAATGCTGTTTAGAGATTATCATATAAGTGTCTGATATTCTTTACGTCTGTATTTGCCTGAGCCTTGTTTGTATTATTTTTTTCAACTCTATAGTCAAACTCATGCATTCAGGCTGCATTTTGAAATTGCGTAGATAAGTAACAGTAACTGTTACGTCTGTTAAAACAAATACAACGTATTGAGCTGCAGCTTTCCCTCCTATAACAAACAGCCATTGTTTCATTGCTTTTAACGCAAGTCTTCAACTCCACGCCTCGAGGGTCGGTGTCCTACAACTTTTAGATGCGTCTCTGCTTCAACACACCTGAGTCAAATAACGAGGTCATTAGCAGGACTCTGGAGAACCTGACTGCCCAATTCTGAGGAGGAGATTCAGCCATTCGCATCAGGTGTGTTGGACCAGGAACTTATCTGAAAGTTGCAGTCAACCGGCCCCTGAGGCCTGGATCTGAGGACCTCTGGTCTATAATATCAATTCTTTGTCTCTGAACTCTTTGTTCTAGTTTGACCTTTGCTTTGCACTATTGCTGCTCTTGTACTTATGTAATTTGGACAAAATGTGCTAATCAGAGAAAGCTGTGTAGCTTCTAGCGTTGCTAATAAATTGTAGCGACTTTCACATCATTATGGATTAGGGTGAGGTTTTGTCACACCCACAATTGATTTCCTGATTGTGTGCGCCCACCCACGGCTGCGTTCAGGATTCCTATACATTTTTCATTTAAAAAAAAAAAAAACTATCTTTTTTTTACTCTAATATCCTAATTTTTTTTTCTCCCTGCATTTTACAATAATTCTGGAAGAAGTAATCACTTTGAATATGCTTGAAGAACAGCTGAGTGTTATTTTGTAGGTTTCGCAAATGATGAAGCAGGCCGGATGCTGAAATGAGGTTCTGATTTCCAAAATTGAATCAGTTTAAAAGCTTTTACTGTTGGACGTGTCAAATAAGGATTTGGTTCTTTTCATCTCCTCCTCTTCTAAATTAATAATATATAAACCAGCACATTATCGCCCCCTATAATATGCAGTTAAAACTATGCATATCTGAGTGGAATGGGGTTTTTCAGCTGTGCTTAAAAAAAAAAAAAAAAAAGTTTGACTCAGAATCTGTGCTTCTCTGTGAGGTACAATCTGGTCATGGACACAAACACGGAGAGGTCTGCCAAGACCTTAAATCAAGTGCGATGGAGCAGGAAAATATATTTTGCATTGAAGAAAATGGATCTGGAGGACCAGCTAAGAGAAACGGCTCGACATAGTTTTCATGCGTGATAAAGTATTGGAAAATGTTCATGGTCTGGTTCTTATTTATAGCCCTCAGTAGGAAATTTCTCAAACAACCAGCGAGCATAGCGGATATGAAAACATTGCTGCTTATCTATCCATAAAATTTGACTGGTTGTCGTTGATTGAAATGGCCCACCACACTGTTGCAACAGCCGTGTCTTTATACTCATGAAATAGCTGTTTTGTTCTGCATAATTGGTTTGGTAAGTGGCTTACAGGGACATGCGGAAAGGACTGGGGCAGATAATGCTCTCCTCACAAAGGCCACCAGTGACTCCAAAGACAGGGAAGAAGAGTTTTATACTTGTATGTGAGACGGACGGACGGCTACCACATAAGACACACATCATCTGAGCTTTATTTTGGCCGTTCTCGCTCCCACTAAGAATAGCGAGTATTTTACATTGCGAGAATTTTGAATGCATGTCCGGGACTTCTTCAGAAAGCAATCGTTAATTAATTGTGAAATAGGCCTTTTCAGTGCCAGACCATAGAATACAAGGTTGAAATGTCTGAGAAACAGTCAATATTTCTTTTGTGTGCGTATTGATTGGTAGACACATAACCTCCGTTTAACTTTAGCTTTTTGGATGGGTTGAGAGCAGGATGCTTTTGTTTCCATTATTATGTTCCCCAAAATCTAGTTTAGCCTGTTGGGATGAAACGCTTCTCCTGGACATTCTCAGCTTTTACAGGTCTGCAGTGGCTGGGGTTGCACTTGGATTTTTAAGCGTTCAGTGTCCTCACTGCAGACCTTTGGACTGAAACTCTCCCAGTGGATCAGAAGGTTTGTTTACATGGCCAAGAAGCATATTTTTTCAAAATAAAAGTGATAAATACTGAAGGTGACATTCAAACTGCACAAAGTTTTAGTTGGATAAAATTTCAATTGGGACTTTGTCACCGTCACCAATATAAATAGTGTGTGGTTATGCATGCAAGAAGAGTTTTAGATGAATTTTCAACGAAAAAACGTGTCCATTTTATTTATTTACTGAGCTTTTTGCACAAACTAACTGTACCATCCTTTGGGCTTCATGTACTAAAATTTCACATATTTTAATTAGCGTTATATTTTGTACTGCTGTGCTCACAGTGAAAATCAGAGGCCTGTTGATTCATTTAAAGCCTGTTGTCACTTTAAAGATTTGAAACTTTTGTTTAGTTCATATTTTTGTTCAAAACCGTAAACTATTTTCTTGGCCCACAGCAAGCAGCTTGGCAAACTGCCTTGTATTTCTGTGGATACCTTCTAGCAAATACTGAAATAATTCAAATGTTCTCTTGTATTTTTTGAGGTTCTCAATGTCTGCATAAAAGGAACTTGAACATACATCTTTGTGACAAAAAAGAAATAAACAGTTATTTTTTTATGTTTGTTAGAAAATTGTATTTTACACATATCACCAAGATCTGGCAGAAACACACCTTGTACACATTCAGTTAAAAAGAAAAGAAAATTTGCAATCATACAGAGTCAAATCTACAAAGGTGTCCATTGTTAATGGGACAGTCAGACTTTACTAATTCTGGTAGCTTTGTGTCCATCTAATTTAGTTTTAGACTTCTGTCAAAAGAAAACTATTCAGGAAGTCTTGGTTTTTGTCCAATCAGCTGTTCATGGTATTCTTAATGAGGAAAGGTTGCATATTTCCCATGTTGGCTCTTTCTGATTGTACAGGCATGCACTTTCAAAATCAGCAGCAGCAAAAGCCTGTGGCAGGTCACTTGATTACATTTCACTTGTACTTCTTTAGGCGTTTTGGGTTCTGCTTTTAGGGAAAAACTACTTGAGCAGCCAGATCTGGTTTTGTTGGGAGTTTTTTTTTTTTTTTTTTTTTTTTTGAGTGTCCTCCACTTGTCAGCTATATTATCTACAGTTTATTGTCTTATTCCACTCTTGTAACACCTCTACAAATCCCTTCCCAAGCCCATAAACTGCTACGTCATTCTCCTTAGTCAGCTTTTTCAATCTCATGACCAAATCAAACTGAACGTCAGACGTTTTAACAGGACAATACTCTTAAAACACTTAAAATGCAGAGGAATTATGTCCTCATGGTTTGCACCTGATGTTATGCTAATTTAAATGGAGGAAAAATTAAGTTTGACCTAAAATCGATGTTTTATCTCAAAGACAGGAGCGAAACTGGTCATAGCAACAGGGTCAAGGTTAAAGGGGAAGATGTAAAACATGGAATAAGAAGGAAAGGGAATGAAACGGATGAAATCTGTCTTATTCCACATGGCCGCAAAAATTCCACCCACATTTTCTCTCGCACTATTTGGAAGATGGTGGAGTCATCTTTTTTTCATCATAACGTCTGAAAACTCAACACTTGTCACTTATTGTGACACACACAAGAAATTCAATAATGTCTAATTTTGCAGTTGTGTGTTCTTGTCAAAGTCGGGGCTATTTAATTTCAAAGAGCAAAAAAAAAAAATGTCATGAAAAAATAATAAATAAAGCTTTGAACTATTGATTCTTTTCTCTGCCATTGAGATGCTTTATTTTGAAAGCAAGTCAGACTGCTGCATAATTTGAAGCTGATATGAGAAGTGTTTTTGTTGGCTTTTCAAAGCAGAGTGCATTATCATTCATAATTGGGTGATATTTTTCTTTTGAAAAACCTGTCCTGTCATAAATATCTTGATATTCGGAAAACTATATGCGAGAATGTTATTAAAAAAAAAAACAAAGGGGGAATCTTGAAAATACGTATAAATGTTTGCTAATTAGCTATTTTTAGGAGTGGAAAGACATTTGGTTGTGTTCAATTAACTTTCTATTATCAGTTGTGACGTTAACTACACCCAACCTACTTTGAAAAAGAAGAAAAAAGTATTTCATAGACCTTCAATGTAAATGTAACTACTTACTTTGTTTATCAGGTACATCTGTTTAATTTCCCGTTAGCCCAAATAATTAAACAGGAATCATGTGGCTGCATCTAAAAGCTTCTAGATGAGTTAAAGACGCATTAAAACTGAGCATCAGAATTTCACTTAGCCTTCCTGAGTGTTGTTATTCAGCATGTCTATCCCTTTATTACCTCAATGTGCCCACATTGATAATGAATTCACTTTACTCCAATGGCCTTTATAGCCATAAAATCTTAATTCAATATAGCAAACTTTGGGATGTGGCAGAACAAAAGACTTGCATCATAGTTGTCCGGTCAAAATCCTTGAGGACTGTGAGTGGTATATTCTTGAAAGGCTTTAATATTTGCACCCAAAGACTTTGTATTTTGTCTGCCATTTGTCACTTTACCTTTGCTGCAGCTTCCTTTTGCAAAATAGTAGAATGGATGTATTATACTCACAATGTCTCTGCTGTGTTGTGCAATACTATATAGAAGTATTACCTAGAATTTTGTGATTCTCAGGACATCTTGAACAACCTGGACCCTCTGGGAGCTGGAGATTTGGACGATAATGATCTCATGCTGGATGTGGACCTCCCAGAGGATAGCTTGCACGGTCAGCACACGCGCACACACACACACACATGCACACGCACGCATAAACACTTTCCGGTGTTATTACATTTACGCCACATAAGGCCATGATGAATACTTAAGTTTCTGTTGCTGGGGGTTGTCCATTATTTTTGTATAAGCGCAAACCTCCAGCAAAACTGTCTTATCATAAATGTAAATTAATACACTGCCAAGGCCTGTGCTTTCCATTTCCAGTAGTTCTTCTGTGGGATATAATGGTTTGAATAAATTGAATCCTGCTTTGCCTTGGGTGCATGCTTGCCATTGCAACATCCATTAAAGAAGTTTAATAGATGCCTTGTTGTGTATTTCGGCCTATTACTCTTTAAATATTTGTCCTGTTTTTTTTTTTTTTTTTAAAGAATTGTTAAATGACAACTCCAGACTTTGACTGAATGCTCGTCCGCTAACTTGGAACAGTTTTTCTACCCAGCTGTCTGGCTTTGTTTTATGAACAGATGCACACAGATGTGCATGATTGACAATTACTGTTGCGTGAGAACCAGAGTGCACTTATATAGAAGCGGCTCAAACATATGTTTCCCCCGATGACAGCGGTTCGATGCTGGCGTGATTGCTTTAATAGCTTAATATCCGCACCTCACATCGCCAACTATCGCATCTGTCAAAGTCTCCTAAGTTTTCCGATTTTCACTCCTCAAATACAAACACGTAGACAGCGATCTCATTAAGACAGAATAAATGGTTTCTTTGTGGGTGTTAAAGGTAACCAGGTCTCATACTATTACTACATAATAACAGTGTTGACATCATTATGCCCCTTTCAGGTTGTGTTGCATTATGTTATTTTGGTAGAGTGAAAAGAAGGGTCGAGGATTGACCTTTTCCTGTCATGAAATATAATGAATTCTTGGAAATGAATTTTCCCTTGTCATTCTTGAAGCCAGGCGATTCATTTCTAATGGGTTTGATGCAATAGTTTGCCGTGAATGCACTCGCCAGGCTCGGTTTGTTCAAACAAGACTCCCTTTAGGCGCTATGAAATTTAATCTGCAGAGTATGTCTGTTTGATGTCTTGTGCGTATGAGCGTGCAAAGGGGCATCTGGACGCCAATGGCTGCTTATTGCAAAAACTAAGGAAATAATAAGGTGGAGCATTGTGTTTCAAGGCCAGTTTTTATGATGTCTGTAGCATCCCGCTTTTTTAAAAAGCTGCTTTAAAAGATTTGCCGAACCATAAACACATTCTTATATTTGCTGTGGTCTTCAAGCCCAGAATGGCTTGTTGTCATACAGTCATGTCCAGAAAAAAGGTGAAGTCTGAGGTTTTACTGATTTTTGTATGTGTTTCCTTTTGTTGAGATTGTCTTAGTGTATCATGAAACTTTCTATTTCCTCTTTACTTTTTTTAGAGGGTTCCATAGACCTGAAATTCTCCAAATCTTGTCACATTACAGCTACAGATTTCTGTGAATTTGATGGTATTTTATGTGATAGACCAACACAAGATGGTTTATAATTGTAATATTTTTTGTCATCTTAAAGTTAAAATGTTAAAAACTGCAATTCATCCTTTGCTATACAACAACAACAAGGCAAATTTTTTCCTTCGGTTCCAACGGCAGCTAAAGTAGACAAGGCTCGTCCTTAGTGCTAACCAAAAACAGAGCATGAAGTGAACCAAGCTAGCTTTTTTAGATGGCTTCAACAGAAACCGGGAAAACAACTAACAAACTTTCAAAGCCGGATGTGGAGTTTGTAAGCAGTCAGCTCCCTGTTTCTGAGAGCAGGAGGTGGCGAGCGGGAAGGGAATGTTCACACTGCAGGAATGTAAATTGGAGCGTCATCTCTTCCTACTCCTTTGCGGGCAGCAGCCATATTTATAGCTCTTACGTGTCACGGGTAGAGTTTGTGTCACGAGAGGCGAGGCAACGGAAGCGCACACTGAGGAGTTCAGCCAACTCCAGCCCACGGGGCAGGCGGTGCGATGTGGCATGGGGAAGGGAGATTCTTCTAAAGACCCCGACACAAAACAGGAAAAGTGGAAAGGAAAAGAGAAGAGAACTTGTGTTATGTTCTCATCCAGCTGTCAGGCTCCTTGAAAGGAGAGAGGCCACAGCTTTGCTCTCTCCCAGCTGGCGACTTCCTTCGCTTGGACACAAACCAGTCACCTCCCCTGCTCTCCCCAGCACCACCACAGGCGACTCTCTCTCTCTCTCTCCTCTACCAGCTCCAGTTCCTAGGGAGTTCCCAGAAAAACAAGGCCGTCAACAAAGACGGGGGTCAGACAGCCCAGGAGCTGGGCTGACTTTTCTCCCCCCCGGCCTTTTGACAAATCATCAGCTAACTGGGCAGGGTCTCAATTCTCTCCAGTCTGCTCCTGACTTTGTCTGCGTTCATGGATTTTGTTTTATTCAGTTTGTATTCCTTCCTGAAGGACTTTATCTTAGCTGAAAGGAGTCATTGGAGGCTCCTTAGTTCCTAGGAATGTGACGGCTGCATATCAGACCGGCTGTCTGCTTCTGCGCTATGCGGTGACGCTCTGGGTAAAGTATGCTAAACACGGCTGCTGAATTTCTTTGAATGAGGTTTGCTGTCTTTATCTGCTTCTTGCTTCTTTGAGCGTCTCGCACATAAAAGCCAAAGGTCATTGTGGTTTGCTGGGAACCACGCTTTCTCAGCTGTCAGCTTTGTTACCGTCATGGTTTAAGACGTGGCTGCGTAAGTGTCGCTGAATACGGAGTCGTTGGGAGTTTCTTTTCAAAGAAGAGAGAGGAGAAGTACTTTTTTAAACTTGAATCCAGCTTTTTCTGTTCTGCCCCAAGTATAAGTGCATCACACTTTTTTTTTTTCCCACCCCTATCTCTCTTGTCTCTTTGGTATATAACTGATGTCTCACCCATGCTCCACATTCTTTCCCTACAGACTTTGACAGCATGTCTCTCACGGAGGGCTCAGACAGAGGTAGCCGACAGGGGCAACGACGCAAGCAGCACCGCTGGAGTGGCCCAGATCACTTCTTCCATGACAGCAGGTTGGTCAGGCTTCCAAATAATAAAAAAAAGAGAAGTAAAGGATAAAATCAAACTAGCGCAACAAATACACCAAAGCAAACGACATGACTTTTTTTTCCCTCTTTCTTTCAGGCTGCATTTCCTTAGTAATTACGACAATCACAAGACTTCCAGGTTTCCTTCTCGTCCCGTCCAGTCTGATGGGAAGCAGCCAGTCTACAAACCAATGCTGGACGAACTCACTCTGGAGCACATGACCCAGGACTGCAGCGTGCTGAGGAATCAACTTCTCAGGCTCAAAACGTTACTTCAGGTTAGACCCACCACCTTAAAAACATGCCAATTTAGCAGCTGAAAGATCTCAGTTTGCTTATGTTGTCGTTCTGTAGAAACACAATAGGTCTTAATGCTATCAGTTATTTTAACCGCAGTTGCACAAACATCGGTTTGTGACACACCGATCAGAGTTGTGGAGCCGGTCTCCGTTTTTTAGCCTTAATCTTGTCACATTCAGATTTCTTTTCAAAATACAACAGAACATATAAAATGCATTAACATAAACATAGGACTTTTATGTTTGGACAATTATTTTTTTCAGTGTTGCGATATTGGAAAATATAGTCTTGGAAATCCTGTTTTTTGTTTTATCCCCTCTTTACATTGTGTCACATTCACAGTTACATATTTTTTGTCCTATCAAAGCAGATCTCTCTTGGAAATGAGATCTTGGATCTCAATGAGACAACCTGTAAAAATAAAGGTTAAAAAACAAATAATAAAGTAAATGCATTTGTAGGTTGAACATGAAAGACCTGCCAAATTTTCTTCACAAATGCCTAACATTATTCTGCAACTCACCCCAATTTGATGTTGTTTGGTTTATTTATTGTACAATCAAGTACCTCAGTGGCGAATTGTTGAGCCATACGAGTAACACGACCTGGCATGTTTTCTTCATGCTGACCACCGGCTTGGTCACACACTGCAGTGGGATGGCATGAACCAAAACTTGCCCAAAGATGCCAAAGTTGGTTGAGTTGGTCACTGGTATGAACTGTGTATCAGATCTGATTCCACAAGTATTCAGCGGTCAGCACTGTAAGCACCTACATTCTGGAGGTGGTCTGTGGCAATCCACAGTCTAACAGGGCGAACATTGACATCTTGAGACGATGGAACCTGTTCCAAGAATGAAGATTTGGGGTGAAGCCGGTTGCAGAATCCTGTCACAATATCGGCCTGCTTTGAGACTTTATTGATGGCACACCTTGTATTTCTAGTGAGAGAGATGCCACTACACACCATCCTACCACCTCCACAGAAACGCAAAGAAGCCAAACAAAAACTTCCTCACTTTTTTTTTTTTTTTTTTGCTAATTATTAATATATTTTCTTGCATTCCTGCACTCATGAGATTTTAATATTAGTAGCAGGGGTGATGTGTGAAAGATAAGTGGCTGCAAAACAGGTTTTTACTATTACTTATAGCAAAAACAAGATTATTAGAGTTTTTTTTTTCTTCTCTTAGCATTTTATAGATGAATACATTCATTGGTATTAATAAAACTGCAATTTGAGTATTCTTATGCTAACGCTGGTATTTTTAAATGGCTGCCAATATTTTCCATGACAGCGGTTTTTATCAAAAAGATAAAGCAGAGCGACTTCATTATAATTATTTTAGCCTTCTCGTTATCTGTGTTAAGGCTCTCTCTCTCTCTCTTGCAACCCAAATTAACTGTAGATGTGTCATCATTTCGTGGAGTTGCTGGTAAAGACATGTATCGCGCAAAAAAAAAAAAAAAAAAAAACTTTAATCCTGAGGTGGTTCAACCCAAAAGCAATTTTGGGAGGGATGAACACAAATGCAAGATATGCTTGAAAAACCTTATACAATGTCATTACATGTCGAAAACTTTTGGGTTTTGCCCTTTAAAAATACAGTGAGATTAATTTCAGTTTTTTTATTATTTTTTTTTTATGTGACATAATGTTGAAAAGTTCAAGGGACATGAATAACTAATTTAATGACAGAATCCCTGGAGTGTGGTTGGAAGCTTTTTTTTTATTTTTATATATATCACTGAATTATTTAAGAACCTGGTACAAATAAGATTATATACACTTTGAAACCATAAACAGGACATTTCTCAGACCCATATTTGAGTTGAAAACTGTAATTCTCCCTTTGTTACATGACAGAAACAAGGCAATATTTTCCCTCAGGTACCAACAGCAGCTAAACCAGACAAGGTCAAGTTTTGGAGCTGACCAAAAATGAGCATGGAGTGAACTCGACTATTTTTCTAAACGTCTTCAACGAATTAACTGCAGACATGTCTCAACATATTACAAGAGAAACTTTGTAAATAACCTCTTATATCTCTGTACTTATTTTGACTTTGGTTTTAAACACTCCAGTCATACTGCAAAACAGCAATAGTTGTTGTTGACTTGGAGGTGCCTGCTGGTTCTTTCGCTTATCAGGAAAAAAAGTTTTGACTTTTGAGATTTCCCAGTTCGTCTAAAACATTGATATTTACATTTGTTTTGAATAATATCTGTTTGCTGAGTTTCCTTTATCTCACTGCAGAGAAAGTCAAACCCTTCGATTGCATTGCCTCAGGTGCAAAAATGTTTCCTTCACCATTAACAAACTCATCATGTTTTTTTTTTTTCTCTCTCTCTCTCTTGAGCTCAAGGCACACACTGTGCAAGGAAGCCTCCTCTTGCTGAATCTAAATTTATCTTTGGCACATTGCTCTGAAATTCAAAGTTCTTTCAGATTTAGCTGCACAATTCCAGCGCAACTTTAACGAGCGCCAGACTTAACGTGCTCTCGCAACTGAGTGACAGAACGATAAAGACCGAACACCTTTCGCGACAGAATAAGATATGCCATTTGACGCCTTACATTTCCACTTGGAATAACTGTAACTGACATTTTGTCTTAAATTTTTGACAAGATTTTTCTTTTTTTTTTTTTTCAAATTTTGACAACAAGAAAAGACTATTACTGGAGTATATACCTTCGAACAAACAAACAAAAAAAATTTGTTCGGTGGTGTTGTCAGCAGAAACGCCCACAAAAACCGCTGCTCCTGCGTAAGCTCCCTGAGGTGAGGACAGCTTTTGGATTCAATAAAATAAATATGTTGAATATTCGATCCCATACTGTGCCTTTGGTTTGCAGCACCGTTGGCTGGCAGATCAGGGTCAGAGGAGAGTCTGTGCGGAAGAATGAGGTTCTTTCACGGCTGTGAAATATTGCTTTTGAGGCATGCCTGAAGCAATTGATTCAGCTCACTTTGTTCTCCGCATCTGTTTGTTTGCCCCCCTCTGTGTGTGCGTGTGTTTCTTCTGTTTCAAGCTTGAAGAAACAGGGTCTCCAGCAGATGTTTGTGAGCAGACGGAAGACGATACCGCTGTGTCACAGGTAAAGAAACTTGAGGTTTTTTGCAATGTTTTTGCACCAAATACAAATCAATGTACAATGTTTTCCCCCCTCCATCTAATATTGTCTGCTAGTAGTACTTCATGCTGTATATGTCTGTGCTTTCAGATGGAGGCTCTGATTAAGGAAGTGCAGGTGCTCAGGGAGGAGCTGAGGGGTAGAGACAAGACTATAGCTCTGCTCACTTTGCAGTGCCAACAGCTACAACATCAGCAGCAGCAGCAGCAGCAGCAGTGCAATCAAATGGTGAGTTGGTATGAACAGGATTGATGCATATACTCATAATGTACTCATTAGAGCCTAGATAGGTGTTGTTCTGCTTTATGTTATACACTCAAATAAAAAAAAAAACAGCTTTGTTTTTCAGGCTGGAATAAAGTCTAAAAAGCCAGAATGTTTTGAGGAAATTGTACTCGGCTTCCTCACCAAGTCCAATAAGAAATGAAAGGTGTGATGGACTTCATCTTTCAGTAGTTAAGATGGAGAGAGGAGCTCCACTTTGTGAATGTCTGCATGGGAGCAAAGTGCAACAGTCTTCATCATCCACGAAGCAAAAACTGCGGAAAATCTGGAGAGATATTCGACACGATGAATACTATTGTTATAAAACTGGTGACAGAATCGATTGTCAAAATAGCAGTTTAGCAGTTTTGTCTCATTTTCCGCCACATGAGCCCGTCACCGTGTTTCACAGTAGTATATGTTCGGGGCAGGAAGGCTTCTGCGTGGTGGCTGAAAAGCTGTTTGTCGTGCTATGTTCTGGGAAACTTCTCGAGACTTTCGTTTAACAATGGCTTTCTTCTTGCTGCGCCTCCATTCAGAAAATATTTGCAGAGAGCAGCATTAATGGTCGTTTTGTCGACGTGCTCTTCCACCAGACCTCCAAAGTTACAATAAGCCTTTTGTCTGCTTTCTCTTGTCTGCCCTGTCAGTTTAGGTGAATGCCATGCTTTGCTAAGTGTGTTAAGTGTGCACACAATCCAATTTTCTGTCAATTTTTTTGATAATTGACAGAGGATTGCTTTATGAGATATTCAAAGCTTGGCACATTGATTTATAACCTAACCCTGCTTTGAACTTCACAAATTGTTGTTGACTTATGCTCTCTACAAAACATCTGAGGCTTTTACAGAACAGCTGGATTTTGCTGAGGTCAAATCACACAGATTGTCTCCGTTTCCAGATTAAGTCAGCATCAGAACGCTGCTTATATTTAGAGGTATTGTAGTTAGGATGTTGGAAAGCAAATGGCTTTCACATTTTTCAAAAATTTTGATTGTAAAAAAGAATTTTAAAAAAATCAAACCCATTTCCTTTTTTTTTGTTATGGTTTACTTGATTCTGCTGTAGTTTGTATTGGTCTGCCACATAAAAGTTTTGGCTACGACATGACAAAACTGAATATAAACTCATAATTTTGATAGATGTTCCAATATATATATATATATATATATATATATATATATATATATATATATATATAAAGAAAAATATCAGACCTTCCTTCTGATTTCTGAAAATAATTGGCTGTAAAGATGATGTGTAATTGAATGTGTTGTATTATCCAAATCAACATTTGATAAACATTTTAAATTACCTCTGCATAACCGACTATTTTATTTTTATGGAAAGACACAAAAAGATTTTGAAAACATATATACTTTTAATGTCATTAGAACATAAAGAGTGTAAAAACACACACTTTTTTATTATTATTATTATTATCTAGCTCATGTGCTGCAAGCACTTTGTTTCTCTGTCAGCTGTTCAGTTCCTTCCTGTTAGTGTGTCTTTGAGATCTGTGCCAATGAAATGCTCCTAGTCAGCACAGTTTATGCTGCTTGGATTGTGCAAAAGGAGCATATTACAGACAATACTTTGATTACATCATCCAGTGTGACAGCGCTGCTGCTAAGCTGCCAAACGGATAGAGAAGTCATGTAGTGACGCTGCTCATTTTGTGTGTGTGTGTGTGTGTGTGTGTGTGTGTGTGTGTGTGTGTGTGAGGGGGGGGTTAAATTGATGGCTATTTTGCACCAGCCCTACATGCACTGTTGCTCAAGCCTTCAAACAACATCTATTCTGTTTGATTTTGACTGGCTCCATTTCCACTCTAACATTCATTAGTGTTCTCTCGTTAGCCAATAAAAAAAAAGAAAGAAAAGAAAAAAAATCATCATATGCATGGCTGACATTATTCAAATCACTGCCACAGTGAGAAATACCAAAATGTCAAAGCAAGGACCTATCCACCAGCTTATCTGTAACATGCTGTCTGGCCAATTAGGATTAACAACCACCCAAAGCTCTTCAGTCTGCACAATATTGTTACACCCTTAACTTCCAACAATCAAAGAGACAAATGAACACTTTTTTTTTTTTTTTTTTGCTCTCTGGCTGGCTTTAATGAGTTTAAAAGTTGTTAGAGTGAAAAGAGAAAACAAAGGAAAATTTACTGACTGAGGTTTCTTTTCTTGAGGGAATCCAAACTTAGGTGAAAAAAAACTTAGGTGCTTTTTTTTCCCCGCTCTGATTTCTTTACACGTAACAACAGACTCATGAACAGGAGGGGCAAAAAGAGCCAAACGACAGGGCGAAAGAGTTTTAGGGTGCAGGCTGAGTGAGAGAAACTAGCAATTCCAGCAGGATTGTTTTTGAGTCCATGAAGGCTGATGGTTCCACCTGAATCAGTGAGTCAATGTCTGGGTGTTTGTTCTGAAATTGGTGTGCTGTTTGAAACTGTTAAGAGGCTGAAGCCGGTAACAGCTGACTGAATGCAACATAATGGAGAAAGGGAAAAAAAAAAAAAAAATGGAGGTGTGCGTTACAGCAAGATGTATTTTTTATTAAATTTTTTTTTTTAGACCAAATTGTGTGTGTACTTGGAGGGCCGAGATTGAAAAATGTGAGAAAAAAGCAGAGCTATTAGAAACTGAAAAATGCTATTAAAGTCCCACTTGACCAAAAGCAGCCTCGGGTTTTAGCCAGTGGTTCCCCCAATCTTTTTACTTATTATATCTAAATTATCATGTAATCGTTTCTCTTTGAACCTGGGATGGCTCACGTTGAATTTCCAATCATGTCCTTAAATTCTCATCAAAGCTTAAATAATCTGCTGACTTCTGGCTTTCTTCCGCAGTGAGCTGATTCTGTATCTGAAGTCTGAAATAGTATCTCAGAAGACCATAAATATATTCTGATGCATGATAAAAATATATATATAAATCAAACTAAATCAATGTATTTTTATTTTAGTGTGTGACAGATAGGGTGTAATAAAATGAGGCCTTTTACTGGGATCAGTTACAGTTTAGTGTGATAAAACTTATAAATTATGTCAAATATAAATACAAAAAAAGAGACAATTTTTAAAATGAGTGTCATTATGTAATGTACATAATCTTAGCAGTAGTTTGTTATATTGACGCAGAGAGTTGATGGAGAGGTTGTCAGGGGTCTCTGACAAATATGTTAATGTTTGAAAGTGATTGTATATTGTATTGTACTGTTTATCTTTGAAATACATGCTTTAAAAATCTATTGCACTAACCAAAGAAATGGTATTAATATCTCAATAATGGCTCACTTTGGTTTGAAATAAGTTTAAGCAACATTTACCTCCAGTCAGCGTTCATTTTTCATCTAGATCTTTACTTGATAAACGACTACACCTGCTGTTTTCCTCAGCATATATCAATATTTCATGGTGGGCTTACTATTTATACTGGCGCCTGCTAGAAGCTTACATACTTGCATCATCTGCTCATGTTGCCTTTAGGCTTTTAATGATGCAGTTTAACAGTTCTTTCTCTAGAATTAATACTTCAAATCAGTTTGAGAAACAAGAATTAGGTGCACAAGCTTGAGTTCAGTGCAGTTCTGGCTGACCCATGCAGGTTTGCAACGGGCTCAAATAAAGACATGCACACGTTTATTGCATTGGTCATGGCATAATTCAGTCTGGATAGTCAACTCTTACACTTGTCAGAAGTGTTTCGTTTTAAGTGGTTAGCCTCCAGGCATTAACGGATAGGTGCCTCCCATGTAATGCATAGGCAGGCACCTATTGTTCTACACCTCAAAGTAACGGCCTCTTCTTAGTACCGTCAATGCGGCTCGTACCGCTGCGTGCCCCCTTCACAATATATATATCAAAACATGCAGCTCGATCCCGTGAGGGGATCTATTGCTTTTGTTGGCATTTCGAGTAACTGTAGCGACATAATTAACACAAAACGAGCCAAATTCAACTCAAAACAAAAGTCTGACACAAAACAGTGCCACTCAAAATAGATGTAGACTTTTGTCTGCCCCTGAGCTGCTCTTTAGAACTACAGACATGGCGGAACACACCGTTAATCCTTTTCCTTTTGTGTTTTATTTACCGTTGTCATAGCAACTGAACTAACGGGCGCCGGGAGAAAAAGAGCGATGGCGGTTCTAGTTAGCTGAGGTATAAACTTACTGTACAGGAGATGAATTGCGATCTGTTTATATGTACAGATTGCTTAATACACCGTCAGTTATCAGCTTTGAAATAAAAAGGTTCTGGAAGCTGTTGGAAAGTAATATTGACATGTTGTTCAGATTGTTTTTTCGTTACATTAGTCGAATCTGTTTAGCTATACTGTGTCCTTCTGTGAACATGCTGGTGTACATACCCCCCGCCCCCTAATATATTGTATGTTCTTTATACAGTAGCAGATGGGGGTTATTCTGAGACTTAAGTGTGTGACATAAGCTGTACCTTTGTATTAAAGAATCTAAAACTGTTTATTACAGGAATAATATTGTCTAGAATGACAAATAAAATAACGCGGACACAATGATTATTTTGAAGAAAGATCAGATATGATGCTGTTTGGAAATGTTAACTATTTAACCAGAACAGATTCCAGGAGGATTAGTGAAGCACAGATTTGTTTCTGCCTCATCACTCCTACCTGTTCTAGACTTTTTACAGG